TTGGACAACTGCAAATATGGTTTGCTGCAGAACTTGCTTTGGCATGCGTTTTATAGCCTCCATTCTCATGGGGCTCTAGGCTTCTCTCTCTCTTAAAGCTAACCCTAACTCTAGCCCTGTCACTAACTGTAATCCTAAACCTGAGGTCACAAGACCTAGAGTTTGGTCTTGTGCAAAGAGAAAATATTGTCATTCCGTGAGTCTGGTTATAGTGCTGCATTTGATCCTGGCATGCCCTTTCTATCCCCACTCCCCATGGGGCTCTAGGTTTTCTTTCTCACTTAACGCTAACCCTAGCTTTAACTCCAAAGCTACGTTTACTTTGGCATGCCATTTCTAACCCCACTTCCTACAGGGCTCTAAGATTTCTCCCCCTCTTAACCATAGTGCTAACTCTAATATGATCCCTGAGCCTGAGGTCTCAAGGCCTCAGAGCCTCAGAGTAGGGTAGAGTTCTGTCAATGGTAAATATGGTTCTAGCACCGATCTGGATATAGTGCTACATTTGCTTCACCATGCCCTTTTTAGCCTTACTCCCTATGGGGCTTCCAGCTTTCTCTCTCTCTTAACCGTAATCCTAACCCTTGCCTTATCCCTATCCCTATCCCTAGCCATAAACCTGAGTTCTCCAAGCCTAGATATTGGTCAAAGGCAAAAATTGTCCTAGCACCAATTTGAACATAGAGCTACATTTCCTTTGCCATGCCCTTTCTAGCCCCACTCCTCATGGGGCTCTAGGCGTTCTCTCTCTCTTAATCCTAAGCTTATCCCTAGCCCTAACCCTAGGTCTAGTCTTGAGGTCACCAGGCCTAGAGTTTGGTCAACAGCAAAACGGTTCTAGCACCAATCTGGTGCTACATTTTTTTTGGTATGCCCTTTCTAGCTTCACTGTGCCTTGGGTTCTGGGCTCTCTCTCTCTTAACCCAATCCCTAACCTAAACCCTAGCCGTAAGTCTGAGGTCACCAGTCCTAGCGCTTTCTAAACAGCAAATATGGTACTAGCATCATTCTCCATACATTGCTGCATTTATTTTGGCATGCAAGTAGTTGTTTATTTACTTGTATCAGGAAGGAAGAAAATTTCATGGTTACCTATGCTGTCCTGTGTTTGGTTTTGTGAAACATCTTGGAGTTTTCTACTTGATGATGAAGATGATATTGTTACTATTTCCCTTTATTTCTTGTTTTTGTCTATGTTTTCTTTTTATGATTCCAACTACTGTCAGTTCTACATATAATTTTATTTATTCTTTATTATACCAAGAGGAGCTGTAAGTTCCTCATGGAACAGAAGAAAGCTTCAAATTCTTCCACATATTACAGTGGTTCAGAGCTAAGGCATTTTAATATATTTGTATTAGGGGTGGCTAGGACATGAGTACCACTTCTTAGATGGGTTTGTTGAAACTAGTTGCCTGAATTAATTGAAATAAATTAAGATGATTCTTCCAAGCATCAGAAGGGTTGTAGATTTCATTATAGTTTTTCATGAAGCAACAGTCACTTTGTTTATTCATGGCCTAATGCCCTGGACTTGACATAACTCATTTGAGAGCCTGAATTCTTTAAATCCTTGGAAAATCCCTTAATTTTGAAAACATCTAGGTGTTCCTGCCTGAGCAGGGGTGTTGGACTACTTGATCTCTAGAGGTCCCTTCCAATCTCAACCTTTCTGTGATCCTATAATTCTGTGATTCTGTGAATTAAGAGGAAATCAGCTGTTGCTAAGAATTTATCTGCATATAGGAAAAGAATTACATTTTTAAGGATTGGTATTAATTAAAGATTGGTTTTAGTTTCTTAATATCTTAAAATCTGTCTGTGTGTCTTGCAGCAGACATTCATTGATAAAACACAAAATTATGTCCGCATGCTTTTACAAACACAGATATGATGGGGAAGTCTTGCTGGGCCTTTCTGAAAGGCACTTTATCTGAAGTTTATATTATTATTAATAATAATAATAATTATTATTATTATTATATTTTTATAGATTTTCTAAAGAGATTCAAACATCTAATAGCTGTTTTTCAATCTCCACACACAGTTTCTACCTGAGGTGACTTGATTAAAAACTTTTTCCAGCCAGGATCAGCAACATGCCAAGTGTCTCCTCTGGAATGCCAAGAGGATCACTGTGTTACCTCATGATTATCTGCTAATTGGTGGCTTTTATTTGGTCCTCTGCTGATCCCTGTAAACTAATCATGGGAGAAGAGTGATACTTAGAGATTGCAACAACCATAAGTGTCCTTGGTATAATGCCTTTTTCAGAAGAATGACTAACTTTTAATTTCTGTGATTGCAGCTTTGTAACTCTTTGCCCCTGTAAAAGCAGTATTTAAAATGATATGCAAAATGAAATGCAAAGCATAGAGTGCATCCAGCAGCTTAAACGATTTAATTCTTGCCACCACTATGGAGTGGTGGTACTTTCCCCAAAATGGGCAGTACACTGGCTTCCTATCTGCAATCTAGGAAAAAGATGAGGTGATGAAGCTGCTTTTCTTTTTTTTTTTTTTTCTTTTTTTCCATTCTGAGATTCTGTCATCTTCTCTAGAAGATAACATAATACTCTTTAGAATACTCTCTAATATTTTTAGTCATATTCTCTGTAATACAAAATATTCACTGATATATTTAATATATTAATATATATATTAATATATATTAATTAATATTTCACTGAATAAACTGAATAAACGGGGTGCTTATGATGGATGACACAGTGAACACAAATATGTATAAGCCTAGAGGTCAGATTCTGCCTTCCTTTTAGTGCTAGTTAGTGTTTGATATCACACGCTTATATGTATGCGTAAGGGAACTTGTATGCTTGTAAGGGAATATGTATGCTTTTTCTTTATGCTATAGTAAAAAGAAGCATCCCTACTAACACTCAATAGGTTGTTTTGCATACACAGTTAATTACATTCTCAGTGAATCTTGGAGTAATTTTTTTTTTCATTTTACATACAGTGCATAGCATGGCTATGGTTTCTCTCTGATATATTACTATTCTCTCTACCTGAAGCATTATTAAATTATACTATGAATCCACATTTCCTCTGTGAAAATAGATGACACAGAAACCGGACAGAGTAACACTGGCTGAACATGAACTACTTTCATGTGATATTGTGAATTTGTGGTTTCACATCCAGTTAAACGTCTTAAATGTGTTAAATTAATCAAGGACATTATCATTAAAGGATTAATTTCAGAGGACATCATCAAAATAATCAGGCTTCTCATAATATATATACAGCAAAAGGAAGATGAAAACCAACATGCTTAAAATACACCTACATAACCACCAGCAAACTCAGTGCCCATGCCAAGCTATTAAGTACAGTAAGCAAAAGAAAGCTGAATAGTATTGTACAGGCATGGTACAGATACTAGCATTGGTCAAAGAAACCAAGGGGGATTTCAGCAGGTCTGTTTGACTGTTCTTTTGTCCAAGGAGCAGCATGTATCTCTTATTAGTGCGTGCATCCTGATGTGACACATGGTAACAAGCTGTGAGGCCTGACACCTCCATTTAACCACAGTGGCACTCCTGTCTGGGATCATAACTCACAAAGCCTACTGACAAGAATAGATATTATAGAGGAAGATGAAAATACTTCTTGATTTCTCTCTTCACCCTATTCCTTTGTGATGAGCGCTGCAATAGCTTGACGTTACTGTTAGTTGTCTTCCTCCATGTCCCCAGGGTCTTCCTCTGGAGCTAGGATTTGGGAACTGAGCAGTGACCTGTAGGAGTACCTGTGCTTTTGGTCAGATTTATTCATGTGCTTCTCAAAGTGGGTTCAATGGACTACTGGCAATCCAAAGTAAGGCATTAAGAAAGGATTTACACTCATTACATATCTCCACATAAAGTGGAGAAAACTCTTCATAAATTTTCCCTATCAAACTGATAGAGTGGTGAGGATCAATACCATCTGTCCATCCATTTGTCCGTCCATTCATTCATCCGTTCAAAAAAAATGACATTTAAAAGGTTTGTGATTTTTTTCCTATGTTCTCTCTTTTCCATGGAGTTTTTATCTGCTTGTCTCTTTTTTTCTATCCTTTTTAAAATTTATTTTTCATTTTTTATTTTTTACTCTATCTCTGTTTATTTTATTAGGCAACAGAGAAACAAAGATTCTAGGCACTGAGTGAAGGAAAGAATCACTGTGTTCAAGAACTAGTGCTCACTGAACACTGAAATCCACAACTCCTGAGTGCCCAAAAGCACAAGCTACTGCTGCAGACCTGGAGTCCAACTGCCCTCATCATGGTCCTTGAGCCAATTCCCCCATTCCTTTCTTAGCAGTGACATGGAGGATCCTTTCCTCTGTGAGCTGACGAATCTGTATTTGCCCTCTTGAGACACTTGCTCCTCTGTCAGAACTGGCCCTGTCACAACCATAGCCAAGCAAACTTCAAATTTAAAACTCAGGAAAATTGCCACGAAGAAGGGCAGAGGACCACAGTTTGTCTGGTGAATAACACTTGGCCTTCTACACAAGATGAGAAGAGTTATGTTTATTATGTATTGGCTATTTTTCAGCATTTTTTTTCAGAAAATAGCTGTTAAGTTTTGCTAGCTAATAGTAAATAGAGTTGAAATTCCAATTTCTTTTTCATCCCAGTATGATATCCCAAGACTGTAATTGCCTCGCAATCTGTCAGTCCCAACACAGGGATGCTAAACAGAGCTAAAGAGCCTTTCAAATCTCAGTATAAATTATCCTTTTGGACTTGAACCAATGAAAATTTTCTGTGTTCACATGCCGACATGCTGTGCACATTTATGGTGACTTGCCTTCCAGCTTTAATGGCACCTTGACAATAAGTAATCTCAGCTACAAGCTGCTTGAGGACTGTTACTTGTTCTCCCTGTTTCCATTTCACTCTTAGCAACAGTTTTGTAAAATACCCTCCATTTCGCTATTGCATCAGGCCTGATGGGGCTTTGGGCTGAGCGCCGTGCAGAGGGGTCCACCTCACCTCGCCTTGGTGTGGCCGTTCCAGCAGTCCTCCTCATTCAACGAACCAGCTGTCACGCGTTCATCTTTGCAGATTGTGTATGGTAATGCTGACCAGAACTTTTTAGAGAGCTTTAGTTTTTCTTTAATGTCTGTTACCTGATTAAGAGACAATGAGAGGGAAAATAGGTTATAGACATCGGCCACATTAACTATCAGTTTGGATACTAGATTGTTTAATTCCATATTAAATGATGGTGAAGGTTAAAGGAACTGGAGGTGCCAAAACTTAAATTTCTGTAATTACGAGCTAGGCACAGTGCATTTGGCTGCAAAGATTGCAAATACTGAAAACCACCTTCAGTGCACTGTTCAACAGGCAAGACATTAATAAAAAGAGTGTACTACATCTTGTTCTTTCTATTCCCCGTTTGTCTGAGTTTTTATAAATATATATCTTTCAAAGAATTAATATGCCTGGTAGTCTGCCTACTGCCAACTCAGTTAAACAGCATTCATCAGATAAAATGTCTCACCCACCAACTTGTCCATGTCTTAGATAAATATTATATTTAGATATACATGTGCAGATTCTAAAAAATGCAGTGCCAAAATGATGTTGAACTGATTTCATATACACAGTCTGAAAAAGTTGCAATACATTTGGAACTCAGGAATGGTGAGAAGCTGGGGTATATACATGCATACAGAGACTATATTCATCTTTGCTGTTAGATGTAGATAAATATCTGTTGTTAGATATAGGCTTCACTTTCAAGAAATGGTGGGCCAGAATAGAAACAGTTCCTTTAAGTTATATACTCTTTATTGAACAATAAATTAATCTGAGATGTACTAGCCAGCGAACAGGAGCAAACAGAATTTCCAGCACCAACTTAATAAATGCTCTGCCTAAAATAATATCAGTTTTTGTTTTGTGTGTGTTTTACTACAGTGGAAAGATATAGATATAGATAGAAAACGCAACAAAGGATACACTACAAAGGATGAATGTTACACTGTTGTTCTTGTGGAAACAGATGCATTTCACATTAAGTTGTAATAGAATTTAGGGGAACTTGCTGAATAGCTTTCAAAGGAAATCACTGAGCTTTGTTCTTTAAAAAATAAGAAATAAAAGCTCTCCATTGTTCCATTCAGTTTTAAGATGGGCTTTTAGGTTGTTGAGGTACAATATTGTACTTGGCCATTTATCTCTTTTATCTTCTGTTGTGAAGACAGGATAGCTCTCAGAGTAAATGGTCCACACTGCTTTGCAGTACTTAAACTCTGTAGAATGTCACTTTATATGCTAGGAGAGGAAAACATCCAAGGATGCTATTTCAAGAAGAACAAATGCGCATTTTCATCTCTGAAAAATAAGCTGGATAGCTTTTCACTGCATGAGCTGTTGACAGTGTTTCTTGCCACGATAGAAATCTCATAAATCTCCTCCACACCCCTTGCCAAGCCCCACTTGCTTAGTTTTCATATCACAGATACTAGCAGCATTTGCAAGTCTTTGAAATTTCAACACAAGCAACCTGTCAAGCCAAACATTAACTCCCTATTTACAGATGCTAGGCAAGCTTTGAGCAGCGGTGGGCATGGTAGAAGGATATCCGCATTTTCTGATGTCTTTGGTTTATGGGAACAAGGTCTCTGGGCAGCAGGCAGACAAGAGATCCTCCTATTTCCCTCTCCAGCTTAGCATAAGAGTAAAAAGCTGTGGGTCACTAGTTGTGCAGCTAATAAACACAAGTACCTCAGGTACACTAACAGGTGTTCACAGGTAGGTATGTAAACTCCTGTTAGGTCACAGGAGAAGCAGAAATACTGTTCAAGATACTAAATCAATAGGGAAAAGAATTTATAGGAAGGAGGCTCCATGCACATAAGCTCAGGGAACATGAGAACCAACTGCACATATTTTCTCTTTTATTGCCCATGCTGGGGTAAGTATTTACATGAGTAATCCAGGTCATATAATTGGCAAGTAATTAGCTTTCAGACCAGCAACTTTGTTGCCATCTGGAAGTTGGTTTAAGCTATTCAAAACTCAGATGTTGATAGTTATATTCATATTTCTACAGTAATCAAATTAGAGCTGGTGCTCTAGGACTGCAGACTACTGTTTTGAACCACAAGTGAGTCAACACATCAGAAAGTAATTCTCCCCCACCCCCCTCAGTCCTTGTAAAGGCTGTAATCTGGAGTGCAAACCTTTTATTTTCCTAGACATCAGTAAAAGAATCAAGATTGGTTCTCACAGTTCAGGGGCTAAACAAGCTCACTAGAAATTCTCTCTGATAATTGAGGACTCCCATTTCACAGGCACCTTTGAAGATACTAGGAGATGTTTACATACTTCCTGTGTCTCTTGCATATAAACAACGAATCATTAAATTTCCTATCAATATTTTTTTTTCTGCATTACAGAAATAAAAAGAAATAAGGTCAGGATCCATGTCAAATGATAACTAATTAAATCTTTCAAACATCCCCATGAATTCTCATTCCCATTTTGTAGACTGGAGTGGGGGAATGTTTACGTGACTCGCACAAAGCAGCAGCAGCAATGGTTACAGCTGTGTGTGGTTACTCTGTGCAGACGTTTCTAGTTGCCTCCAATCCAGGTGCATTCTTAGCATTTTTTTGTTATCTTCCTCATATATTTTCCCTTCTCTCTCTCTACTTTATTTCACCAATTTAAAATGACTTATAGACTCAGCTTGAAAAGTCTTGTTCCTTCCTGCTCTGTTGCTGGACTTCTGTTAACCCTCTCAACTTTTGGTAGTAGTCTTTATGTACCGACCTCAGCCATTCCTTGAATCTCACCTCAATATTGGTTTTCTGGAAATTCAGTGTCATTTCTTATGTCCTTGAAGAGGAGTTATGAGTGAGTACCCATTGATTCAACCCATCTTTCAGTCAACTGACGGAGCTCCTCTCTCAGAGGAGTAGACTGATGGTCATGCTCGCTTGTATACTATGAACATTTAGGCAGCCAATGGTTTTTAAATATTTTTAATACATTTTTAAATGCAGAACAGAATTAGATTACATAATGCCTGCTATGATACCATGCTATGTAACACTTTAGCCTGCGGTTTTCAGTGGCTTCAATTCTGGGATCACCCCAAGCATAGCCTTAGAAAGCCTTTTATTAGTCTCCACAGCTATGTATGCTCCATAGTATAATGCTTTGATCATCACCAGCATTAAAAAAAATATATGTAACAGATGTACAATCCCTTGGAAATGAGGTAAAAGCCACTAAAGTTTCAGTTAACATTACTTGCTAGTGATTTATGAAGCCAAAATACTGTATACCCCCTGGTGACCTGAGGCCTTGTAAATGATTCCTTGGTATTTCCCATTCTTTGAATTAAAGATTAACTTTAAAGTTAGGTTAGAGTTCTGCAGAAACATTCAAACAAAAGACCTATGCAATTCAGATGTTTTACATATTTTGTTTCCACTTTCCCTAGCACAGATTTACTCAGATTAAGACAACTGGATCTCTTTGGCTGTCGTTAGCCTGACAGTTCCCAGTTCTCTTCTTTAAGCAGTCCAAGCTGTACTTTGACAAGTCCCTCAGATACTACTTTGAAGGTACTAAACTTGTTCTGCTTTGCAATATTTTATCTCTCATGATAAAAGGGACATACAAGGTACCATTCAAAGGGTTACATTTTTAATTTCTGTGATAAATGGAGATTGAAAATAAATAGTTGAGAATAGGTGAAAACATTTGCATAATCTCTAAAGGGAAAACGATATCTAGAGTCACAGAAGCAGTATAGTTATGTGGCCCACTTCTTATATCTGTCTATATTGATTTCTTAAGGTGGCTTGGAGTTGTCACTTACGTCATTCCCCAGCAGACTTTAGAACATACCTCATGAGTTCACCTCTAATCCTATCACTTTTAAGATGTAAATAAAGTTGACCAACATTTCTGACTTCTTTATCTACCTTGCATTCAAGCAAGAGAAAGAAAATAGGCTAAAAAGGAAAACCATCATTTTAGCAGAAATTCAATCCTGGAATCCCTTGTAGAGATTTCAGAGGCCTGTAAAAATTGAAGATGCACCAGAATAACAGGAAAAGCATTATTTAATTTCTTATGGAAACTTGCCTTTTCAGCAGAGGGACAATATGCCCCGAGAAGCAATGTGGACTCAAAACCAGATTTTAAAGGTGGCCTTGAAAGGCCCAGAAATATTTATTTTCTAAAGTAACTTCCCTTTTCTCCTCCTATATCCCCTGGCCTTAAGTTCATCGTACAGTCCTATCTAGTTTTGACATCCACACCAGTATAATCCCTGCTCTCACAGAGAGTCATATGGATATTAGAAGCAACTAAGGTAGTGTTCAAAGACGATGGAATCTTCTGACCCCATTTCAATGCAATAAATGTAATAAAATAATACTGAATCTTGCTTGTGTTTAGAATAAATGGTATTATCAACTGTCTTTTCTTCTTCCCAGCATTTTTGCATCAACACTCCTTTTGTTTGTTTTGCAAGTTTTGAAAGATTTTCTCTTTGAATGTAAGCAGGATACTCAGCCTGCCTTTCTGTCGATATCTTCTCTCTGGGGATGCTCAGAAACATTTTGATGCAAAACCCTGATAAGGGGTAAATCTTTATGCCTTGGAACCATGCACAAATGTTTCTTGCTACTCCCTGAGGTACTGCGGTGCCACTCTGGATAAAGTGTGGTGCGTAGGTATGTGGCAGTGCGGATGCTCAGATGTTGAGGTGGATGTTTGTGAGAAGGCACTGTCATTTTGGAGAGTCCAGGCCCGCATGTGACTTACATTTTGCTGGTATATCACAAACAGAATTGTGACAGCAATTCTGAGCAAGCAGAAAGAGGTGCTGGGATTGTCATTGGGAAAAGAGTAAAAGTTCTAGCCATTGCCAGCTAGATTCATATGTTCATAGCATCCTTCGTCAAACACGCCTCTAGCCTTTAAGGCACAAGCAATATTTAACTGGTACCATTTCTTCTTGCTGCGTTATTTCCAGGTGAAAAAACAGTTTTCTCAAACCTGCTGCAGGAATTTGCTCTTTGTTCTGCCTGAGACATGTCTAACATGCACAGAGCCCTGTGCCCCACACACTGGCAGCCCTTATTTAAAATGATATAGA